CCAGCGAAATAACAGAGAGACAAGGCAAAGAGATCGGGACGAGCAAATGGAAAGGAAGAAACGAAATAGGAGCGAGGTGCGGGCCCGATGTGAAAGAATAAAAAAACTGTATACTTTGGAACAGAGGGGAGCACTTAACGGAATACGTCCCAGTGATTATTGGCCGTGATAATGATCGAGTCGCTGCGAGTTGTCTATGGCGTGATTGTAGGTCGCCGCGCTGATCCTTAGGCCATGTGCGAGGGTGGTTATTAACAACGACCGGTTCGAACGCAGAACACCAATGACCGTGCTGGTTTAGAGATGCTATCCGTCGCATCGTGCGTACACGTAGACGTTAGAATGGGTACCTTCGCGTTTAGAGAATCCATTTAATTCCACTATTGATGATTCCCTTTTTTGTTAACCCATTCACTACCACATACTACTTCTATATAATGTAGTTATGTATTCTTAAAGAAGATGCAAAAGAAATAGAATTAATTTAATATGTATATACAATAAAAGTAAATGCACAATTATTCTGTATTAGAGATGATATATAATATTATTTTAATATATAGAAACTGAAGAATTTTTAAGAAAAATAATTATATCTTGTTGAAAATATTTCTAGTAAGCCTATTTTAATGAAGATAAAGCGGATTATATTTATTTAAGGAAAGAGAAATAATATTTTTAGTATATTTCTCTGACATACCTCCATGCAAACGCATAAATTTTATTAATAACCTCGCGCGGCGCGGACGAGGGGCAGCTAACAAACTCGGTAATCCCCGACGGGAGTACATCTCGCAGCCAGTGTTTACACGCTGATGATTTCCGAGGGCTCGCATTCTTTCCGCTGACGGGGGTATTTAGTCCGACGTATTTACCCTGGAGAGACAATGTAATGGGCCGGCAATTAGACGAGGAACGATTAAAACCGACCCTTAATTGGCCACGATAGAGCGTCCGGAGAAGATTCACACTCGTTCCTGCGCTCCTTCATCCCTCTTCGTCGATCGCTCCTAATCCCACCCTTCGTGCCTCGGCTTCCTTCTCTTCCTCTACCGCCGACTACTCCGATTCGTTTCGCCTTCTCTCGCCGCCTCCGCCCGCCAGCCCGCGGCGATAAATCACGCGAGGCTCGTGTAAGTAGTAACTAGTAACCGATTCGCGTTTGTACGACTCCCGTGAGGTATTAGCTATTACGGAGAGTTATGGTGCGGTGCCACCCTCGTCCCCTGGCTAAGGCCCCGGGAATCATCATGATCGACCTTGATTAATTGCGACGCTTGCGATGATTATCTACCCGCTCGTAACCACGACGCGATGATTACGATTCGAAAAAAATAATTAATGCGGCACTATCTCGTTTTCTTGCTCTGGCCAGGCTTAAATTGGCTTATTTCTTGCGCGATTCGTAGTTCTACTCTACAAGTACTGCCTGAACATCTTCAGGAATTTTGTATTTAATATTAGAGATAAATGTTGGAAATTTTATACATAACAATTAAATAGGTAAATAAATACGCATAAATTTTATTACAGATGATATATAATATTATTTTAATATATAGAAACTGAAGAATTTTTAAGAAAAGTAATTATATCTTGCTGAAAATATCAATCAGTTATGTTCTGCGTATCGAGACTTTTATTAAATTTGTCTCCACCATAGAAAATATCAATTCGTATAAGTATTAACGATGCCTTGTTTGAAAGAATCAATTTTGGAACTGCAATATCCAATTATATTTTAATGCCACATATCTCTGACAAGAACCTACACATCCCGCTATCACTTTGCCCTAACGCTTGAAATTAACACCGAGACGGTCGTCCGTGATAAATTCATGCAAATACTTGTGAAAATATCTGTAATAATCCGAACCTATAATCAGCGTTTTTTCCTCGCCCATTAAATGCATGCATTTTTGGTTTTCGGCTGCCCGTAGTGCTGTTTATCATTCTCTGTCACGCGACGTATCTTCTCGCGCTATTAATCACCATATTTAAACCTAAGAAATTCTCAGTTTCGTGGAAATGCTGGCGAACAGTGATTTGAATAGGTGCGACGACGAACGGAGTCATCAGATGAAATTACATGCGTCTCGCTGCATTATTATTCGTGGTAATTAGGCTTTCGTTGTTGATTATACTTCTTGCTGATGGGCGCCCATTTAAAGGGATGGACTTAGAATTTCTAATATACCAAATGCGTTTATGTAAATGCTTGGAGAGTCTTCAATGTTTTATTTGTACGATCTTATATTATTTAATATTTAAGTAACATCTTACATGTTTTTTACATAATATTATATCTCTTTTTTAAATCAATCAGAATCTTATCATACTCAGTTTGCTAATGGATTGTATAATAATCAGATCTCTTCATCTCTGTTGATTTTAATAATTGTACTCACAGTTCAATGAAATTCACTGTACTTGTACTATAATAAAACTCATAAGACGTCGGGTATATTGAAAATAACGTACTGGCGTAGAAGCACCTGTTCTTGCGGACGTTGAAATCTCCTCGCTCGGAGAGGCGATCGCTAAACGTTCGTTTGGCAGTCTACGTCGAAGGGGCGGCCGCAAAATTGGCAGTCCAGACTGTTTTTCCTCGCGTTTCGTTCTCTGCCTGATGATCGTGTCTCTGGGCTGGACTGGCCCCCGGGTTTCGCAGCCGACGATGATTATATTCTAGCTCGTTCGTCGCTGTTTCGGGCTCGAACGAAAGGAGTGGACACGGCCGAACGACGACGAAATCATCTTAAGCGACAAATTACATGTATGCTAAGCGGCCACGATTTGAATTATTATTATCGTCATCATCCCCCGATCCCGCCGGGCTAGCCCTTCCGAGAATGATTACACGTGCTCGTCTCTCTTTCCCTCTGCTTTTTCGAGACCCCTTCTTCTTTCCTCATTTGAATGCGATCTCCACTGACAGCGGTGCACACACGTTTCAAAATTTTCACCAATCTTTATAAAATGCAGCATATAAATAAACCAATTTTTATTAAAGTCCTAATTTCTACTCACCGACATATTTTTCTATAATTTTATATCAAATCTTTAAATTATGGAAAAGTATGTCAGTGAGTATAAATTAAGACGTGAACACAAAAAGAAACATCTTTAAAGGATGTAAAAGCTTTCAATAGTGTGTCTATAATATAAAAACGTAGAGACAGGCGGAGAACCACTGCGGAAATGATAGAGTATACAAAGCAATCACGGGATTCGAACCGGATTGGCGGCTATTCCCGTAATACGTTATTAATTTGAATGCCTCACGCCCGATGAATTATTTAACGGTACGATTAGCCTAATGCATCACGCGTCCTCTTCTATTAAAATACAGCACCGTACGAAACCACGTTTGTTGGAACATCTATGATCCGTGCTTTCGGCTCAGGACTTCGGAAGGCGTCCACTCGCAATTCTTTTAATTGTGAGACTCTATTAGCAGAACGGGACCGGGTAATTTTTCTAAGAACCGTGACCAGTTGATTATTGTTATTATATACGTTTCTAAAATGGTGCGTTTTGCGTTCGAAAATTCTATATCGACGGGGTCGTTCGTGGCACGTGCCAATTTTTTCCTTCTTCCAAACCATCTTTAAAAGTATTATCTTCTTACCATCGTAAAGGGGGCTTTTATTTAGAATATTAAATGTCATAATTTTGGGACGTTCGTTAATCTACAGATTATTTTAGGTGTTTTACGTAAACGTCATAATACAACATTAAATATGTACCTACAGTACTTATTCATTCTATAATTACAAATTAAATATTATTCAATAGTAAAGAAAATTATATCAGTTAAAATTTATTACATTAATATTAGTAAGTGACTAAGAAATTAAGGGTAATGAAATGATTAATAACTAAAGACAGAAGTGAATCGAATGCATACGATTGACGATGAAAAAATCGTTGCAAAATGATGATAAAAATCGCTCAGCTTTCGAATCGCGCTGCCCGAGGAAGCGGTGGAATGGTAATATTACAAGACTACGGCAGCTCGGGGGGCATTCCTGAAGTTTGTGCAACGTCCAAGTCGCGCCATGAGCCATAGCACGGGATGGAATGCCGATTGTAGGTGGTTCGGATAACAGAAACGAGGCGACGGTCCCTATCCTCGGGGACCGATCCGATGGCTCGTGAATCCATTGGCGCCCTGGCAATTAGGCGACCTGGCCCGCGGTGAGAATTTCAAGAATATTTGTGAACCACGAACCGACTGCGGGTTCGTCGAATTGACGAATAACGCCGGCTCAGAAAATTTCGTGGGTGGCTCCACAGCCTCAGGACTTTTAAATCGTTCCAGCCTTAGCCACGTCCAGTTTTATTTAAATGTTACCTCTTCTGTATTAGAGTCAGTGAATCATTTATTATTACATTACTATTTTACTACATTAATATTTCTCTTCTTTTTTAGTAGTCATAAATTTCTAAAATCTTGCAAAACGTAATACAATTAATTTTAATTTCTCATCTGTATAAATTCCTATTTCTTACAAAATTGCTGGTTACCCAGGCTGGGGACGTAATGAAGGTAAACCGAGATCTACTGTGGGTCCACTTAAAATTTCGTAAACTGGAGCGATTCATGGAATCGAGTAAAATAGAAACTTAGTGTAGGTATAACCGTGTGTAAAACGTGCGGGTGGAAGATTACATGATTGCCCAGCGATTACGGCAAATTTTCAGAAATTTAGGTACCCTGGCTACCTTAACATTAATCGTGTCTATTACAGAAAACTTTGAAAACCTGATGCTTGATTGTTACCTTCCTTCATATTCTTTTGATCGCACCGACTGGGAAATTGGTCAAAGATTGATTCGCTTATAGAATATTATTCATATTTATTCGAAATACGATAAGATTAGAAATACTTTCAAACTGCTTAATTGTTTAATCAAGCTCTGATCAATAATTAAATACAAAAATCCCCAAAAATAACTCGAAATCGATTTATCAACGGTACTGAAAAACCACATCGTTTAATAACGTAAATTTTATTGTTTAAATTAGACGTGACAGTATTATGTCGTATCTACAGGAAAAGTACAAAGTTATAAGTTATGCTATATGTATATCATATGTATATATATATTATATTATATTATAATACGGTAATTATCGTACGAGATAGCGAAGATTTGTTTATCTCAGCGTTTCTTTTTACGAGAGTTCGATGGGATGAATATTATTAATCAGGTTCGTCAGCCGGTTTCTTATACGATTTATATGTAATGATATTTATTGGGAGGTGTAGTGGGAAATGGGAAGTGTGGGGCGGTGACGGTGTGTGCAGGTATACGGGGTAGAGGGATCTGATGTGGAGGACACGAAAAATATAAAAATAAATGCGAATCGCCGTAAGCAGCCACGATAGAAGGCACGACAAATTGCTACACGGAAGCAGGTATTCGCACGCGTTACTCGTTACTCTTTATCGACTTTCCTCTTGATCAGTACGTGTTCCTACTTCGATGCTAGATGAAGTAAAAAGAATCGATCGCGAGACAGTATCGTGCAACGGGAAATAATTTGCTGCTGCATTAAGCACGACAATTTTCACTTTTCGATTTGTTAAAGCATTCCATTTTTTTTGTTCCCAGTTATTTCCTGTTTACGCGTTCTTCTCAATCTCATTTTGCGTTTAGGCGCGTGCGTTGATGAGATGTGTCCCAATTATTTGATGCGCAGAGAATGAGTTAGGAAGATGGATGATTCAAATCGTTTGTTCGTTCATTTAAAATGACAGGAGAGACACGACCGTGTTTACTCTTATCTGGTAAATCTCTCAGAAATGTAAATATGTACAAAGAAAGAAAATTTGATTCATTCGCCGGCTCGAGTAGCGCCAGACTTTCTCTGTATTTCCCCATTTTTGTTTACGGTTCGCAAAAAACCGATGGCTTTGCGGCAAGTGACAACGTAATGCCTATCACCACGACATTGGGACTTAATGAAACGTCGAGTTTCAAATCGCGATTCTCGTTTTTTACTCTCTTGATAAAAAATAGCGAATAGTAATGAGCGTACGTAAGTATATAGTTGATTCTCTTAATACGAGATAGATGTATCCATATATTATAATACGTATGCGTAATATGCAAATATTTGGCGTGACTTCGGGGATCGATAAGACAAGGATGATTCGAGGGTGAGGGGAGACGCGTCGTTCGATAAAATTTAAATAAGAAAACAGGCATAACTAATAGATACGATTAACACACGGAAAGAAATAAAAAAAGTACTCAAGCAGGCAGGGTAATCGATGAATATGTCGCGGGTAAATTTTACACAAATGTTATTCATACATATATCAATATAAGTATTCGCGATTAAAAATAACGGCAATTAAAAAGAGAGCATTCAGAACCTAAAAGTTACATTCAAAGGGCGATTGCGTTCGTCGGGATGCAAGGTTTCCGTCGCCCGAGATATCGCTTTTAATACTACGTTACACGTATGTATGTACATCAGGGGAAAACACATGACCGCGAAAAAACTTGATGAAAAAAACAGAAAGTTGACAAACCTTACGTGTACCGTAAATCTTCTACAAAGAAACACCTAAGTATTCGGTTTTCGAAGATGCGTTGCTTTCACAGGAAGCTACAGCTTGTTCGTAAACGATGAACGTATCATCTCCCGCGTACTCGGCTCATTAAGTATCTTCAAAGGATGAAATTTTCTTGTCGGTTCTTCCGCAGTCTTATGATTCCTAAACGACGCCTACTTGCCGATAAAAACGATTCGCGTTTAGAACCCTCGTTACACTTGTCTTTACGCGAAAATGCACTTTCACTCTTTTCTCGTCCGATCATCCAAGCGTGTAACGTTTTGGTAACACGTAAACAACATCGCTCTGCGTGACGTGTGTTATATTGTTTCACGCATGACACCTTGATCGCGTTTCACGATCTTAATGCGCTTGATGATATGCTAGTCGCGATCGTGCGCCAGGAATTGGTCATGGTTGAATTATATGCACGAACACGTGATACCTTTTTCTCCCTTTAACACGCTCGCAACGAAATTGTTCGTGATCGTTCGTTCTCTCGCTTCCGGTAATGATATTCAATCTTCTCTGACGGAAAAGTATAATTAAGAAAAGACGAATCATGTGTTATGATCATAAATAAAATTTAGTTCGTTTTTATTATTGTATGAAATCGAATAGCCTTAAATGAGGGAAAAGAGGAACGAACGATCATGACCACTTTAGGGCAACTGTTCGTGAACAAGTGTAATATACGAGTGATCAACGCGTTTCATCAGCGTTTCACTGTCTAAACAGGTGGTAGAGCCCACAGGGTTGCTGTTTTATCAGCGGAGGTACTGAGGAACGAGAATTCCGTAGGGTGCCATCGACCGGATATTACTTTGTCCTGGTGTTGCGCGACAACCACGCTCGGCAAGGGCATCGTTAAGTCGCCTGGGAAATAAAAATAAAAATTGTGTTACTAACATCAAATAAACCGTTTCCTACGATTAAAAAATTCGATTGTTAATCATTCAATTTTTGTACCTTGCAAATCGGTCAGGACAAGCTTGTTATCGTAACCACCGGTGAGTAGATAGTAGGCGGAAGGTGAAAAGCGTATGCTCCTAATGTCGGCGGCGTGCGGCTTAAAGCATTGCACGGTCCTACCGCCTCGGATGTCGAAGAGGACGCAGCTGCTGTCCTCGTGACCGGATACCAAAAGACGTCCGGACGGGTCAACGCACAGGGCCGCTACCGGGCTTCCGACCTGCAACGGGATCAGATGCTAATCAGACACGCGATACCGATTCCGTTCCGTATTTACTTTTGAGTACGTCCGATAAAAATTCGACCCTGGTACAAGAGGCTGAGACTAGATTGGCTAACGTGGAGTAAGAAAGAAGTGAAGTGTAATGCGAATTGTGTGTGAATAGATGTGCGATTTAAAAAACGTGGGTCGACATTTTTATCGGACGCCGAACTGAAAAAATGAACTTAAATAACATAAGAAGATGTTGTCCATGCATGCTACATGATCCACAGAAATTCTCTCCATTCGTGTTATTCATTGATAGCTGACAATAGATATAAATGTAAGTGAATTACTAGTATCTATTTGGAATGAATTCCCTTAATCAAGAGGCCGATGACAGGAAGGAGGCTCTAATTGAAAAACTGATTGAGGAATCTGATAATCAAGCAGGATTCTTCACATTTAAGAAATCTTTAAATAAAACAGACCAAATTTCGTGTCCTTCACTTATCAAAACAATTTTGTAAGAATAGATTTTAAATGTATTTGCATGATCAGGTTCCTCGTTCTGCATTCTAAAAAAGGTAATCTTCGACGTAAAGCACGACTCACCCTGCTACCAGGAACCGTTGCCGGCGTCACCATGTTCACACAACCCCTCGTTCTGAGATCCCAGAACCGAACCGTCTTGTCCTGCGAGCCGCTCACGAACATCGCGCCACCCCAATTGTAGAGGGTGAGCACATGACCGCTATGACCGCTCAACGCCTGGAAAGGTGTGCCAGTCGCGCAGTCAGTCACATAAATCTTACAATCGCCCGCTCCGCCACTGATCAACAGGCTCGACTTGTTCGAGGTATCCTCCAGGAAGCACAGGTCGCGGACCGTGCCATCATGCATCGTCAGCTCGACCTCTTGACCTGAAAGATCAAGCGCAAGCTTGAAGAAAACGTGTGAAAGTCTTTTTTGGCCGATTTCGTTACGCAATGTATTATGTGACAAGCAGGAAACTGAAAGTGAATGAGCTATTTCGCGGGCGATGTGCGTAATTGGTACCAGTCTGTCGAAATGCGTTTGCATGAAAGTTTGTAGGAAGTAATAATCTTTTAACACCTTCCTCGGTTTCGTGAAATGATTTAGATAATGAAGTAGATAAATCGATTATTTAATATATAAGTATAATAAATATAGTGACAGACATATTACGTATAAAAAAAATTAAAAATATATAAAAATGTATGTTCCCTGAGATTAAATAATATTGTAGAATTGTAAATCATATTTCGAATATTCATATTATAATACAATGGCTATGAAAATATAATCTTAAAATTGTGTACAGTTATATAATAAATGAATTTGGTTTTTTACCTTCAAGATTCGACGTGTCTGCATTAAACCGCATCAACTTAACCGTTTTGTCGTTGCTGCCGGTGGCCATCAGCTGTCCATCCGGTGTCCACGCGAGACAGTATATCGAACCTTTGTGGTGTTTCGTTCTCTTGAAGAGAACCGTGGGCTGATACGTCTGATGATTTTCTCTGTAGAAAACGAAATCAGATCAAGACGTCGTCGAACGTTTCTTACTCCACCATCTAATAATTCATCTCAATTTTTTGCATCCCATCAGATGATCGAAATAAACCTGTTCCATTTCACTGCACAAGTATCACTAAAACGACTAAACAAAGTCGTGCAATCTGCGAATCCTTTTCACCTTTTCATGTTCGGCTTTCCATTTCGATGTTGTAAACTTAAATATGGGATAAAGACGTCACGCTAACTTTTTACTTCATTTGCCGATTCGATCTCTTCATATATTGTTTATTTTTAGTAATATTTTACTTTCTCTAATAGAGATTTCTGGGACAATTAGAGAGAGAGAGAGGTGATATTAAATTACAGATTAAGTTTGGTAATTGATTTATCACGGATATTTATCCAAGCAATTTTATAAACGCAATATTAAATTCATTTTAGAATTTCTTATAGTATGAAGAAGAAATATATCAAAGAATTAGATATAAAAAAATTGTTTAACACGGCAAATATAAAAGGCCTACCTATAAAGTATACGTAGATTTTCGGCAGGAATTAGAATATAGTTTTTAAAAATTGCTCTGAACTGAAGTGGTTTTATTAAAGATAACAATTTTCTGAATACGCAAGAATTTCAAAGAAACCCGCTGTGTCCCGCGGGGAAAGAATCTCCCCGGTTTCCCATGCGTTACTTTCTTCCAACCTCGTTTTCCTCGTCGTTCCCAGTTACCGCGATTGCGCATCGGTCTTAATTAAACGAGCGATATCAGCGTTTTGGCCGTGGAAACCAGGGGAGAGGATTCTCGATAGGCCTATACGATTTTAAACAGGAACGTTGCCACTTTCACGTCGACCTCTTTTTTTTACATCGATTTTAATTAGTCCCAAGTTTTCCCATGTGTACTCGTCGATTAATTTCTACCACGTCTATTTTACTTCCATTCATCGCGCACCTTCAGTGTTGTCCCTCGAGTTCAAATAAATATCTGTTGCGTGTTCTGAGATAATTGAGAGATCGATAATCCAGGATGAATCGAACCGAAGATCTTTTATTGCTCCATTAGAATCGTACTTTCTCCCGAGATTGAAACGAGCGTTGATTCATAAAGGCGTTCAATGGCGAGCTAGACGCGAGAAAACGCGAGATCGCGGTCCATTTCAGTGAAAATAGACTATCATTATGATGAACTGCTCAGTACTTTATTGCTGGATAGTTGCAACGTACGCTTAGCGAGCTGATTCTTAGTGAAAATAATGGAAACCGAGTTTCAAGTATAAAATTAAATCATCGACAGTTTTGAGGCACGCGAAGAGTAAAAAGGAATTTAAATTTCATCGCTATATCATTTAATACGTTATTTTCTAAGAATTACTCAGGGAAAAATAGCATTCCACGTGTTTTAAAGCTAACAGTGATGACTCTCATTCACCGAGCATCCGCCTTGCGTGACAGAAACACCGAAAGGCAATGAAGTAAAGGATCTCGACGCTTGATACTGTTCTATGAGACAAATGAAGAGGCGAGCTCTCGCTTATCCATCAACCGCTGTCACGGTGCCGCGGTATTTATCACGTTCCACACGGCCAATTTACGCGTGGACAGAGTGAAACGGCCCGTCGTGCCTTGGCGGGCTCGCCGACTGGGCGACAAGACGGGAAAACACGGATTCCTTGACAGATGAATCGGAAATGATTGATCTACGGCTTCTGATACATGCGAATAGTAGACACACTTCTGGTTACAAATGAAAATAATACGAATGATTCTCTTCCTGTTGTTTCCACTTCGCAATCAGACAAGTTCTTGGAATTATTAAAACGAAAGAAAGCTGAATAATTGACTACTTAATGTTTCGGAAATGATTGAAGCACTTCAGAAGAATTTGGAGAAACTTTTTTATGACGAGCATAAGGAAACTATGGTTACTGGTATCAATGAGAAATATTGTGCAGAACCTTTTTTTTATTAACAACAATAGTCGTTCAAAAGTAATAAGGCCATAATTGTAGTATTACAAAGTACAATAAACGTTTGACGTTTCTCAATGATTACCACGAACAACTTGTAAGTAGCTGTAAGTTCGAACACGGTCGTTTGACAAGGCAAATAGTTTCATGATAGATAATAATTGAGCTATCAATCAGCATTCTAATAGAGTTTGCGTAAACCCTAGTCGTAATTTAGTTTTATTACGTTGCAAAAACAATTTCTTGTTTTTGTAGCTTGGCTTAAAAACCTTAGTGCAAATAGGCATTCAGGATTTCTTTCTTACATGTACAAAATGAGTGAATAAGAATAATCTATCCAATTTAATAGAAAATATGTTAATTACGAATCGAAGAATTCTGTTAAAAAATGCAACGAGGAGATTTCGCGGTGGTGATTTGATGACCGTCTATTGTAATATTTAATCCTGATTCAAAGTTCCGCTTGATGGTAAAAGATTCAAAGGAGAGTCAATAGTAACAAAGAGAACGAAACAGAGAGATTGCATAGAGAGAAATAAAAGGACAGCGTGGAGTATCGAGGAGGAATGCTCCGTTTGGTATGAAGGTCTTCGTCGTTCGTTAGGTCAGCACGCTTGCGTAAAATTAGCCTGCTCGACGTTGTTTAATTTAAATGCATTCTCGGCGGCGACAGTCGGGGTACATCTCGTAAATAGCGCGTTATAGTGACAGTACTGTCAATCCCTTTCTCTTTGTACAAAATCAGTTTTTAAACCGTAAAGACAGAACAAGGTATAAAAATGTATCTTGACTGACATAAATATTTCTGTGTTAAACATGATAGATTTTGCAGGCGAAATTAACTATTGCAAATTTATATAGAAAAATGAAGTATAGACAGAAACTTGGTTTATTTTCATTTTGGATATTCTGTATTCTTCAACAATCTATACTTAATATCAACTTAGAAGTATAAAATGAGAATAGAAAAAAGTAAAACAGCATTGAGCAGAATTGAGAAATAAATAAATCTTACCTGACATCGTGTAGCTTTGGATAAGAGCATATTCTTAGGGTCTTCGAGTTTGATCCCACGGCATACAGTTTTCCTTGCGGGTGGAATTCCGCGCAACGAACAGCTTGGACATCTTCTAATGCCGTTACAGGCACGAATCTCGGCCTTCCACCATTGCTTCCATTACTCGTGTCAAGATCCTGCCTCGGGTCCGGCTGCAAACAAGATCCAAATCATTATTGGCCTGACTTATGATCGATGTGTACAATTTGACAGCGATTTGTCAATGTTTAATGCCACCTAATGGTGCTACAAAAATATTGATAATATCTGGTAGTCAAACAGAAAGAAAATGCCCGTTAGACCAGTATATTTTTCATGATTATTATTATTGATCGTGTGTTACGTCTATTAGATGTATATTGACAAATCATGCTAGGTTTTACGTATCGATAACCTGTTAATCAAACAGAATTTCAATACAGATATTTATAGTAACAAACTGAAATCAATCATGTCCCTTCAAAATGTAAGGAACTGTAGTAAGTAATTCAGTTTGGGAAATGTTGACGAACGTGTTTGACTTTTTCTCTTCAAAATTATTTTATATTTATATAAATATATTGGCATATAAAAATGGGAGTCTATTAAGTGTACATATCAAGCATTTAAACAGTGCGAACCAAAGAGATAACTCTGATATCGAATATATAGGAAAGATTAATGAACCGTTCGTTTTTATCTTTATTATGTAGATTTCAATTTTCAATTCCGTAATATTACATTATTATCTAGTATAGTTAAAATTCCAACTAGTCGTGCTGTTATCGTTTAAATATGTATTTATTGATAAATAATTGTACGCCTACCGCATGAGTTTAAAAATGTGTACGTGTCGTATCGACGAAAAAAATCAGATAACGTAATCGCGACGGTTGTCAGGGCGTCTGACATTTGACAAAGAAATTATTATTTCTGACGTTTTCATTTGGAAGTAAAGCTGAAGTGATATTAAATCTCGAGTCGGTCAACCCTCTCGCGCGATAAAAGTCGAATCATTTAATGAGAACCAGTTCGGTCGCGACGAAATCAGCGCCTTACGTGTGCACGAAACGTAACGAGCGACGAGAACAGCACAAGAGAATTAGAAAGTCAGACCTTGAAAGGATTTCTAACGTCTCTCTTTTCCATACAATCGCCGTGTTTTACTTGCATGTTAATCCCAGCGAAGTTCCCCGCCCGGGGCGCTTTATCATTTGCAGGCGCATTCGCACACGCTCGTTTCTCATCCAGATGAATCATTATGTCACTAGTGAAAAATGTTCATTCGCTAACAACTGGCTTCCATTTCATTACGCACGACCTTTAATCTTCTAATCGAAATCGTTTATTATCGATTTCGTTCGATCATTGACGTCACGATTTAAAAAACGGTTAATGAAAGGTACATTCCCAACCGGAACTGCAATTCCAGAAGCATTGTTTCCATTCTACTTAATGGAAACTATGGAAATTACATTTCTGTGTTTTCATTAAAGCTTCACTTGTCTACGATAGTAATTGACAGTCGTAAAAGAAAGGGAAATTTTTGCATGAAGGGGATTAAGAGCCAACGATCAGGACAATATCATGACTGGCGCAACGATCAATTATTTTGTCAAACGTTGCGTCTATCGGTTTTACTTAACACGCCCAACAATTTTCTTGTGTAACAAGCTGCACGATTTCCTGCGACAACAATTATTTCTATGTAAAATCACTTCGCTAAGCAATTTTGTAGAAATTGAATCTCCCTTTAATTGCAAGTGTCTCTTATAATTGAATTATAATTATAATTCTTCGTATTAGAATTACTTAAAAAAAAATATGTTAATTGCCAAAACTCTCACGTAGGTAAATATTAATTATGGTAATTAAATTTTATTAAGCAATCGTAATGAAATCTTAACAAAAAGTATGGCGTAATATCTTACGCGTAAGATTCCTATCTATATTCGTAAATCTTTTTATGTATCCAATTATTTTTATATTACGATTATGTAATTCTACTATTTAATTATAAGTGATAACTCGAATTTCACTCATATATTTTTTGTTGCGTATTATTTTCCCTTATCTCGTTCAGAGGATCAAGCCAGAATAATTATTCCAGCGTTGGCAATTTCGATGCTTGCGAAATGGTGGGCCGAGGTGCGAAAAAAATCAGCAGATCTAGGACAAGACACGTGTAGAGAACGGTTCCGGGGAACATCGCGGAATCAGCAACGTTCGCTGCTTAGTCACGAACGCCGTTTCTCCACCGTATCGATGTTCACCACAGTGTGTCATTCGCGCAGCAACGCTAACAGAAATCGACGGTATTGAAAGAAAAAATGAACATGCAATCTTTAATTTGTTCTATAATAATTCAATAATTGTTTTTATCACTTTATGTATTTTTTACGACTGTGTTTTATATTTCGGTAATTTTTCCTATAAACACTTTCAAAGGCAATGGCTTAAAAAATTCGTTTCACAGTAGCTTCACAGTACAACTGTTAACAATGTCTTGAAAAGCTATTCGACATTTTTAGGAGTTATTGCGGTGCGAATCGAGTGGAAAACGACGCTGCCAACGATTTAAAATAAAGAGCGGGTGATTTACGGACACGAACTAGGCCAACGGGGTGATCGAACCAATTCGAAATAATACAACTTTGTAAAATTTTCATAATGGAGACCGTTTCTGAAACGACGCGACGTTTAACGAGCCGGAAATGGCGCGGTGGTAAACCATCCGGGAACAAACAATAAACAGCGGATCCCGCGAAAACCTAGTTTCACCGATGATGGGTCACTAAACCTGTTCAGTATTAGCCGCTCGTTGGTTTCTAAGCA